TTCACTAAGTTATTTCCACAGATGCTCTGTTGTTTAAAAAAAAGAAAGAAAATGAACTGTGAGACATACTTATCTAAATACTAAATGTTATTCTTAGTAGAGTTGAAGATCTGTGCATATGTGTGATATTACTTTTTGTCTACTTATTCTGTTTGTCTCTATGTCTACTCTTAGAAATAAGTCATAATGTGTTCTCATTTACCCTAAGCTATATACCAAATCTTGCTGAACTTTTTTATTCTTATTTATTCTTATTTATTCTTTTAGTAGACCTTTTTGCCATTCTGGTTTAGTACTTTAGGAGAAAAATGGAAGAGAGGACATTAACTCTTGATACCATAAAGAGTTAATTGTGAAGAGCTAATGCAGACATTATTTATAGATGGACTAAAACTGTTTAACCTAATGAAAGCCAAATGATTGCCTGTTCTTTCAGTTTTTAATACTGGTTTAACTATCAGGAACCTCCCTTCTAGTTCTTTGAAACTTAATTATCTACTTATTCATTCATTTGTTCATTTATCAATTTAAGAAAATATTGTTTATTCTGGAAGGTAAAATGCTAATTGGGCTCATTTCAGTTGCCACATCTTTGAGAATTTCACAAAGCACCCAAGTTTTGGTATTTCCTTCTTTCCATGAGGACTGTTACTAACTAGAACCCAATCAGTATTTGCCATGTTGAATTAAGGAATCTGAACCTGGTACCACACTTTGAAAAATCTGTCACAGTTAAACTGACCACTTATATTTATGGTTCTCCTGCAACCAGCTCTACCTTAAATATACATACATTGTCACTTTTCTCTGCTTGAAGATTTGCAGGAAAGCATTGACTATTTTATACACTGAACATAATTATAATCAACATTTGATTGTTTTAATGCTCTAACTTCCATATTTTAATAACTTTGAATCCTCTTATTGCCTTTGTATCATTTCTGTTCTGATTATGAAATTTCCAATAAGATTTATCATTGATCATACGTCTCTTCATTAATATGTATTTAGGTAATTGAAAGACTACATAAAGCATCTTTCAACAATATTATGAATTGGCTGGATCTCTTTTGAGGTTTTGGAGACTTGGGGTTTGTACTGTGTCTTAAATGAAGTCTCAGAGGCATCAGTCTCAGAGATCAGTGATTGATCTGACAGGGGGCTTGGTTATTGGGATCCTTTGTTTTCCTCTGCTCCTTTTCCACCTGCTCCTTGTTGCTAGCCTTGTTCATCCTTAATTTAGGAGCTAATACAAGAAGGTTGAGAACTACGAAATACCCAAAATGTAAACAGAACTATTCCGTCTCAGTGTTTCAGGGTGGAAAATCATATGGAAACTCCAGGGAATGTCTATGGCAAGGCTGCTTGTTTCCTACATGATTGAAATTTGGAAAGTAAAAGGACAGAGATTTATATCATGCAGTTTTTCATAATTTGATTTTTTTTCCTCTTTTACCAGGTTTCACCAAAACTCATGCCAATGCAGCAGATCGCAAATTGAAACGTGAATATTTGTACCAGGCTGCGTGGTTTTCATTTTAAACACATAGGATTTAATTGAAAGGACACCAGTAATCATAATTGTGTATTTAACAGGTGGTTTTTGATTAGTTTTCTTCTAGGGTTTCAGACTTTATGCATCCATATAAACTGTTCTCTAGGCATGCTGTGACATTTTAGTAAAAAGCAAAAGGAGCATTTATAATTATCTCATTTGTTAAGTACTGAGAAAGTTGTCTTTATAATAGGTAATTTATTGAATGCATTTTCACTGAATATGGTATGTATGCTAAATTATATGAACCTTTCCCCAAGAAGGGTCCTAGAAATTGATGTGGCTTTCCTCTTAACTATTATTAATCCTGAAAGAAAGATAACACATGTGATTTTGTGGTTAGGAGAGTTGCTGTCATGATTGTGTTTTCTTCAACCTCCTCTGACTTTTCTTTTGGGGCTTCAGATTTTATGATTACATCTTCTAGAGCATCCCCCTTCTTCCCATACTGCTTTTAAACAAATGCCCAAGAAGGCAAGCAGGAGTGCGGGAGAGCAGGGAGAAATAATTAGTTCAAACCAACTATCTATCTGTGCTTTTCAAAGACTAAGGCATATTATAGGAATAGGAACAGAAGAAACTGATTCTTCTGTTTTCTCATTTTAAAACAGTCCAGTATTCCTTTGTATTCTCAAGGGTCCTTGAGAATATTTCTGTTATTGAGACCCTGTGGGCTACTTGTACTGTACCTCCTCTCAAGCCAAGAAGGGCTGCAGGATAATTTACCATGAATCCTTAGTAGCAGTGACAGCAGAGTTAAAAAATAAAAGGTGCTTTACTTTCAGGCTCTCGTTTTGGTTCAGAAAAGATTTTAAATATTGAATGACACTTCTACAGAACCACGGTTTTTCTTCTGCCAAGGCTACTTCCTTTAACAAAGTCTTTTTAATTCAGCCTTGTCCAACTAGGGAAAATAATGATGGACAAGTCTAGGGATTTGAAGTCAGTGAACTTTTAGTGTTAGGGAATAAACATGGTGGGTAGATCAGGTTTGAAAAAAACTTCTTTAGAGGTATTCTCAATACCAGACAGGGGCCCATGGGAATGACTTCAGAAGCATCCCAGATAATAGATGGGTAAGAAGGCTAGACACCCTGAAGAACAAGTGAGACAGCTGGCCTCTGGACAGAGGTAGGCATAGTACGGTACAATATATCATTCCTCTGGTCCTAAATATAGGAATTTATTCATGTTTTTAGGTGACGGTGGTCATTGAAACTCACATGTCTTCAGGTGTAGCTACAATTGTGTAATGTACAATATTAGAGAAAAGACAGGCTTTTAATAAGTAACACACACCGTATATAAAATAGCCTTTCTGGCTGGCCACATGGTGAAATGCATACCTTCCCAGTACTGGGGGGAAAAAATGATCTTTCTTAGAATGTGCAAGTTTCATGAGAGTAATATATTGATATGATTTTGAAAAGAATTGTTGATAGTTACATCTTCAAACTTGCTTATCATTCCAGTATGCGTCTTTAAGATATTGTGATTCTAAGTAGATGACTTTATATTCTTGATTAAAGAGTGCTATACGTGTTAAGAAATGCATTACTGAATGTAATAAATATTCCAAAGTGATATAGATCAGTGTGACTGTCCTTTATTTCACTTGGGAATGGCATTGCTAAATGTGGGAATAATGCAACAGATTGTCAGGATAGCTAACAATGAAGTCAGCACACATCACCACTTCTAGTCAAGTTGTTGCTTTTCTTTTTATCTTACCAGAGAAAAGATATTGTTCTTCTAGAAAGATCAAATGAACATTGAGTTTCACAACTTGCTCCTTGTCAGAGCCTGCTATGTTTGTAAAAATCATTTATCCAAGGCTTTATGGGTGAATCCTTGTTTGCTTTTTGTGTAACATTTCCCTTTACTGTACACGTTAGTTGCCTAGTGCTGTGAGTTTATTTCCATTTTGAACTGGCTCTAGTGCTAGTCTGCTCAGCATCTGTGTGGTAACAAAGGGATGGGGACGTCCCCAGGATTTGCTACTTCTGGTAGCTCTCGTCAGTCGACAGTGGTTATACCCAGGGTTGTGTATATGACCAAGGATGTCCCAGTTTATTTCTCCAGCATTTAAAAACAGATGAGAAGTCATCTTTCTTACTCCTCTTGGATTATGAAGCCATAAGAATGTGAATCTGACACCAGTACCCCATTTCTCTGCTACACACATGCACACACCTAGCTGAGCTCCAGCTGGAGAGAAAGAAAGCGATACACAAAACACGGAGCTGTACAGGAAGCGTGTCAGTCGGGGCATTCTGGTGGTATTTGGATAGATGGTTCTGGAAGTGCCTAAGGCCAACTTCCTTCCAGCCATGCCTGGATAGAGTTTATAAATCTCCTTTTTGCTTGAGCAGACTTTTTGTTACCTGTAAGCACAGTGAAATCATAGAGCTTTTGTAATTCTTTTTCGCCACGGTGTCTCACTCTGTCACGTAGGTTGGAGTGCAGTGGCACAATCACGGCTCACTGCAGCCTTGGCCTCCTGGGCTCAAGTGATTCTTCCACTTTAGCTTCCTGAGTACCTGGGACTATAGGTGTGCACTACTACACTTGACTAATTTATTTTTTGTAGAAACAGAGTGTCACTATGCTACCCAGGCTTGCCTGGAACTCCTGGTCTCAAGTGATCCTCCTGCCTGAGTCGCCCATAGTGCTGGGAATACAGGCATGACCCAACATGCATGTCATAATTCTTGAGTTCTGAGAGGGACCTGGTCTCCTAGAGAAGTTACGCAGAATATGAGCAAAACTGCTTGCACCTGGTCCCAGAGAACACAAGAGCATTTCTGGGTATTTACAGTGAGTAGGGAAGTTATGGGTAGAGGTTCATTCTCTTCCAATCTCAGTGTATTCAGCACAAGTTTGGGATGTTATTTCAATGGAAGTATAAGCAAAGATTTAATCATTAGGTGGGTTTCTTTGGCACTAACTTCCTCCCTTTTCTCAGGGTGTGATCTTGAGTTTCTTAAGCTTATTTTCAGATCCTCCATCTTTAAAATAGGGGAGAATACGCTGTTTTCCACTGTGGTTCTATAAGATGTAATTAAAATATCTGGCTATAAAACTGACATCTTTTAAAAATGCTGTGCCGTCATATTACTTTGGTGACAGAATTGTTTATTGTTCCTTTCCTTTTATTTAATGTCTACACTGCCTTCCCACTGAAGACAATACTGAATATCAAAGTGGATTTAAGTATAAATACCAATAAGTATTTGTGATCTGAGTGCGCATCTATGTGACATATTTGAAGATCCTGCCTCCATAAAGTTAGACACATCTGTGTAAAATCATCCAAACGCCCCTTGTGGATCACACGGCAGCTTCCATGAGCATGATGCCTACACCACTCCAGATAACTAATTGGTAACTCCTTTGTCTATGGGAAACAAATGTGTTTGATTGTGGTCATTATCACCTCTCATAGGGAGCCACTCTGGATGGTCCAGTGGGAAAGGGCCTCAGGAAACTCTACCCTGACTCTTGGATGGCCGACAGTGTGTATGTTGGAAACACCCTTATTTCTGCTGACAAACTACAGGATCCCAAATGCCCAACACAGCCATTTTTTTTGTTTTTGGCTCACTCCTAAGCACCAGGTATTCTATCTCTTGCCCTTTAAAGTTTTTAAGAGGGAATCAGACAGTTCCAGAAGCTGGCATATAAACCCTTGATGTTCCCTTGGAAGACCCTCTGTTGATGTGGGGATAGAAGGTAGCTTCTCCCATTTTGCATTCTTGGGGTTGGAGTACTCAACTCTCTAATCTGTTTCTGTAATTGCTCTGTTAATATTTATTGAATCAATTTGCTAGTTGAAAACATGGGTCATAGTACACCAGACTTAGAGGAGTTCCCTCAGCTAAATAATTAGGTAAGACCTTAGGAAGAGATAAGAAAAACAAGAGGTGGAATATGGAGGGCATAACACAGGAATAAAGAGACCTGCAGTGGTCATATGTTTAACACTTCATAATTTATAAAGCACCCACAATATGCTAGCTAGCTTATTTGATTCTCATAATAACCTGCCAGGGAGACATTATTACCTCCATTAAAATTAACTTGATTAGTTGGAGAAAAGTAATGTCTGTCAGTTCTTTAATCACATTAGCTTTTCAGGGCTAATGTTGGATTTTGTCAAGGTAGTTAATGAGATGTGAATTAAATTCCCTGAATAGAACTAGATTTGTGGCTCTTTGGTAAGCTATAAAACAGAATCCAAATTCTCTAAACCTAATGGAACAAATATTCAAATTTTGTTCCCTCTGCCCTCACAGTTCTTATACACAACCCAGTTTATAAGGAAATGTAGTTGTCAAGTAAAAAGGATGATGCCACCCACCAGGCAAAATGTCCCTGTGGAAGACTTGTAATTACCAGATGTGCTTACATGAAAGGTTCTATGTAGGTAAGCATGCTCACCTGGCATCAACCAGAGGGACTGAGAGACTTTGCTTTATCTTTGTGGCTGAGCATCTTTCTGAAATTGTTGCTTTGCAATTAACCTTTACCCATGTTCAAAGTCAGAGTTGTACTTCAGACTAATTCAGTTGAGCCCCAGAAATAAAGCTGAGATTGTTACCAGACTGAACATGGATTACCTGCTTGACACAGCAAAGCCAAATACTGATATTGGGGTATGCAGCAAGAAAAGTGAGGTATTATTGCAGGGCAGCAAGCAAGGAGAATTAGGCAGCTCATGCTTAAGACCCAAACTTTTCAATGACTTACATGTAAGGGTTTTTAAAGACTAGACGACAGCGGTTACAGGTGAAGTCATAAGTCAATACATGGAGGCTGTATATTGGTGTAGCCTAAAAAGGCAGGACATCTTGAAGCAGGGCCCATAGGTCATAGATGGAATCAAAGATTTTCTGATTTGCAATTGGTTAAGCTTTGATTAAAAACTTGGGGTCAGTAGAAAAAAAGTGTTAAGCTCTGTCCTGTGGGCATGACTTCCTCCAGGCCCCTCAGGAAGAAATTCAGAATGAAGAACATTGGTCAGAGTTCAGCCCTCAGTTCCCTAATATCTGAGGTCTGTGTGCCAGCAAAGAGCATTTTCCATTTGTTGGGGATCTGGGTTTCTGAAAAACAACTCAGGGACATAAATTAAGATGTTCTCTTGATTTTCTATAGGGAACCAAATATTTCATCGCTCTCACTTCTTTGGCTGTTTTAAGCTATAGTTACCTTTTTGCTTAACAGGTTGCTTATAAGGCTAGCTACTTCTCAAGGATAGCTAGTTGCCTGGGATTTTCCTCGAAGGGACTCTAGGTTTTCTTTTATTTCTATGTTCTGTGGGCCCATCAGGCCTCAAAGAGGGGTCCCTGCTCCATCTCAATATTTGCATCCTCAAAGTAAATGTTACAGGTGACATAGAGGAATACTCAGTGAGATCTAATGTTTCCTCCAACAGGAAAAACAGGATCCGTGGAAAGAGGAAAACTGGTCATGGCACTGGAGCCCGTGGAGTGGGTCGGAGTTGGGTTTGGAGTGAGAAAGCATTAGGGTTCAGCAAGACACACTTTATATGAAACATTTGTTATTGTATTTTCTTTAAATGTTAAGACAGCATCAATTTTTAAATGCACTATGATTTTGTTTGCTTTCTTATCACTTAGAAATTTTATTGTGTAGATACTAAGATTTTTTTAGACTTCTCCTCAGTCCCAGGTGAGTTCACCAATTACTTCCTGCCCAAGAGTCATTAATGGATGCCTTGTGCAGCTGATAGGCATTGCAAGCAGTTAATGACCCAAGAAAATTGACCAGTCTTGAAATCTGTGCATTTGAAATCCAGGAGTTTTTAGAGACAGGAGGAGTCAAGCGGTCAAAGAGACAGGGTCAGGGTGAGGATCAGGTCAGGAGAAGGGTGGAGGTGTGGGGAGCTGGTGCCTGCCTCAGCTGCCCCTCTGGAACAGTAGGGCAACCAGAGGCCAAGGGCACCAAGACAATTGTAGTGTGCCACCATTTGTGAGATGCATCTCAAAAAAATCAGAGGTGATAAAATGTGGAAAATTGTTTATCTTTGCTAAAATCAGTGAATTGCAGGGAGTCCTCTCAGGCCTTTCTGAATTGACATAATGTTTAAGAATATTTTAAAGCAACATCTTGTCATTACATTCTATAATATACAGCACTGATTGCATAGGAAATGATCCCTAAGGACCTCTTTCACAAATAAGAGTTGGTAATTATATTAGTGTGTATGTAAATAAATGCATAAAAATGGTTCCTCCAGCAATCCAAGTGTTCATTGTGGAAACTTTCCATCATGATTTGCCTTCCAGGTTTGTCTCTGTGTCCTCCTAACCTTTTCTCCTCACTCCCATCTTTTCCATACACACAGTTTCTATCTCAGGTATATAAAAGTTTTGCCTGTAATCCCAGCACTTTGGGAGGCCAAGGTAGGTGGATCACCTGAGGTCAGGAGTTCGAGACTAGCCTTACCAACATGGCAAAACCCCGTCTCTACTAAAAATACAAAATTATCTGGGCGTGCTTCATGCCTGTAATCCCAGCTACTTGGGAGGCTAACGCAGGAGAATCAATTGAACCTGGGAGGCAGAGGTTGCAGTGAGCTGAGATCATGCCATTGCACTCAAGCCTGGGCAAAAAGAGTGAAACTCCATATCAAAAAAAAAGAAAAGTTTATCTGTGAAAAATTTTAAATATTGAGGTGGGTGCAGTGGTGCATGCTTATAATCTTAGCACTTTGGGAGGCCGAGGCAGGTGGATAGCTTGAGCTCAGGAGTTTGAAACCAGCTTGGGCAAGACATGGTGAAACCCCATCTCTACCAAAAATACAAAAAAAAAAAAAAAATCAGCTGGGCATGGTGACACACACCTGTACTCTCAGCTACTTTGGGGGTTGAGGTGGGAAGATGGCTTGAGCCCAGGAGGTCAAGGCCACAGTGAGCTGAGATCACACCACTGCAGTCCAGCATGGGTGACAAAGTGAGACCCTGTCTCAAAAAAAGAAAGAGAAAAACTTTTAATGTTGTAATTAAAGATATTTAACATGGTATAGATACTTAGATATATAAAGAAAGTATAGAAGGCCAGTGCATCTGAGGAGGTACTTCTATTAAGTCAGTAGTATGAAACTCCATATGAGATTGTTGAAGTGAACAATGCCATTTAGGATGAATGTGATCAAATTGGACAAGGCACAGGAAGACAAATAATTAAAAAGTATACAACTATGGGGAAAGAATAAAATGCCATGGAATATTTAACTTGCAGAAGAGAAGTTAAAAGAGTGATTTAACAAGAATTTAGAGAACTGCTGTTTATAGCTAAAGAATGCCCAGGTCCAAAGGGAAAGAAGAAGAAGAGTGTGTGGAATTTAATTAAACACTAAGCAGCATTTCATGACAATGAGATTTTAAGAAACAGGAATTAAATGACCTATTCATTCATTTATGTTAAATTTTATTGCATATATTTAAGGTATACACCATGATGTTCATTTATTTACTGGTAGGAATTGAGGGGGAGAGAGAAAGGGAGAGAGAGGAGAGGTGTTGGGTAGTCTAATTTGAAGACAGTTCTGGAATCTAGCGTTCCTAAAATCTGGTATTCAAGGAAATTTCTACTGGCTTTATAGTCTGAATTCTCTTTGTAAATGTATTAATTCTTTCATTATCCAAAAAAATCTATTTGTATATGCTTGGCAAATAATAGATGCTCAATAACTTTTTAGTGAAAGAGTGAGTAAAGAGAATATGAACTAATAATTCAGTGGCACAGAATCATATTTAGACAAAATTCAGTTTGTCTTTTAAAATTTCTAACTCCAAATAATAACAGCAAACAAGCACAACTGGCCCAGAGATACCAGGGATAGTTAAGGTCTCTCTCTGTCACTGTTTCTTTTCCCCCTTCCTTTCTTTTTTCCTTCCTTACTTCCTTTTAAAAGATGTATTGAGCAGTCTTATCAGTCAGAGTCCAATCAGGAGACAGAAAGTACATGGTGAGTTGAATAGGGAAAGTTTAAAATAAAGAATGGTTAACTATAACAGGAAATTGGAGGAATGCATAATTGACTATTAAGAAGTAAAGCAAATTCTAAGCAACATTAGAATAACAGCTATAAGGAGCAACTACTACACTTAGGGTTGAAATACAGCATCCAAGGAACAGGCCTCCAAGGCTGAGATCCAGACCTTGCTCAAAAGTGTGTGGCTGTGGCTCACTGGATGGCAGAGAAGTCAACATGATTCTATGCTAACAGAACTTTCTCGAAATCTGCTTCTGGGGTGCAACAGGAAGCTGTCACAGAGGTGGAACCATGCTTCTCCTGGTGCCACAAAGCCACCTAGGGAAGCTGTTAACAGGGAGGTGTCTCATCTGGGGCATTCTACTGCACAGACACCTGAGAGAATGCTGGGGGATGTAGCTGGCTGCTGGGCCCCATTGCCTGCCACATACTGCAGGAGCCAGGAATGGGAAAAGCCAATTTTGCTGTGATTGTTGGGTACTGGGGAAGCTATGTATGCTGCAGGATCCTGGAAAGAGAAGCACACCAGAACTAGGAGGATAAAGCTCTTCCTCTTCCCGTGTCTCTCCAGCACCTTCTATTCACAAAGCTTAATATAGTGTCAGTTGGCAAAGAAGTCATATTTGCAGGCTTCATCTGTATTATCTTGGACAAAGCAATGAAGGGTGGATTTGGAGCCAGAGGTCAGCAAGTTGCTAACTGACATAAGTGCCTGCTATGAGCCAGCAGTGTACTAGATGCTAGGGATATGGCAATAAGAAAGCGTATTGTCTCACCCTCATGGAGCTTAGAGTCTAGTGGAGAGAAATAGCTCTTAATCACATAATCACACTTAAGAGTTAACTTATAATTGTGTTGAGTTTTCTTTTTATGAAGAAAAAGGATGAGTGCCATGAGAGGTTATTTTAAAGGGTCTTGAAGTTATATTAATATTTCTTACTTGCCTCTGTTCAGCACATCCTTACATTTGCCACAGGTTGTTCAATAAAATGTGTAAGCGTGTGTAAAAAGAAGCTAAAGTGACTCTTGACAATAAAAGCCAACCAATCAAAAAAAAAAAAAAAGCCCTCAAAACAATATGGAGATCAACTAACTTATCATCTCTGAAAAATTACAAAAAGAATTCAGCCACAAGGCAGAACTCTGGTAAGAAGTGGTTAGAGGACAAAAATCAAACATCACTTATGCTTGATTTGAGAAAATCTCAACTTTAAAGTTTCAGTGAAATAATAGAGTTATTAAAAGGATGTGAAATAGAATGCTTCTGGCCCAGGGTGAAAGCCATACCACTCAGTGGCTATTGTAGTCATTTGATTATAGATGTTTTATCGTGGAAGGGTATTACATAGATACAATCTGTACTGAAGGGGTCAATTGAAATACTCTGGTGACTCAGGAAATGCAGCAATGAGAATGCTGCTAACCAAACTGAGCCAGCTGTGTTTTTCAGAGAAGAAGCAATTGTGAAATGACCTCATTGTCATCTGTAATATCATGGAGAAGCAGAAATGTTCCAAGGACATCTGAGCCGGTGTTAAAGCCGAACATGTTTATAAAAATCAACTCTGGCATAAACATAAAACTACTTTATATGATTAGAAGGAAAAAATGAAAACATACCTGTTCTATACATGGAATACATCCATTTGTTTATTTCATATGAGTATCCAATTAATAAGGAAATTTTTTTTTCATTTAACAAGACCATAACACAAAACGATCTATCAGTCTACCAATATGTATACAACCTGTAAATCTAGTCCAGAAAAAGAGCAATTATATTTTTAAAAATTACTAAAAGAGTCTAAGAAATTCATCTGCCAAATAGGACATAGTTTTTAAGCACTAATTTTAAAAATAAAAATAGAAAGCATTTTGAAACTTTGCTCCGCAACCAACTTATGTCCCTTAATCTTGGGAATCTTATGACTTGACCTTGTCAGGAAAAGTATTAATTTCTGGGTGAAATGATATGACATGAGGATTTGCTTTAAAATGCTCTGTCAAGTAATGATGATAATGACAATTATAGAAAAATCAATGAAATAATATTGGCAAAATTTGGGTAAAGCTGGGGGTGACAGGTACATGAAAGTTAATTATACTGTTTTCTTTGCTGTATGTTTGAAATTTGTCATATTAGAAGAGTTTTCCTAGGAAAGGTATAAATGCAATATCCATTATAGCATATTTATGATAATTACAGTTTTGAATAAGAAAATTTAGTGATGATTCCCTGGGGTTAGGATTAGAAATTTAGTCAAGAGGAACTACAATCTCATTGGAAGAGAGAAGATGAGGATGGACTTTTTAAAAATCAAGTTCACTTTTATTATTTCAATCACTAATAATGCAAACCCCAGGAGAATGAAAATAAGTACAAAAAGCATGAAAAAAACAACATTATTAGCTATCAGGGAAATGCAACTTAAAGCCATAATAAGATACTTCCACACACCTGACAGAATAACTAAAATAAAAACAGTGACAACACCAAATACTGGTAAGGATATGGAGACGCTAAATCTCTCACACATTTCTGGGGGAATGTAAAATGATATAGCCATTCCGGAAAACAGTTTGGCAGTTTTTTATAAAACTAAACATGTAGTTTACTGTATGGCCCAATATATGCACTATTGGGCATTATTCCAGAAAAATGAACATATGTTGATATAAAAACCTATACAAGAATATCAGCAGCAGTTTTATTTACGAAAGTCAAAAACTGGGAGCAGCCCAGATATCCTTAAATGGGTGAATGGTCAAACAAACTGTGGGAAATCCTTAAATAGAATACTACTCAGCAATAAAAAGAAATAAACTATTGATATATGCAACAACTAGGATGAATTTCCAGGAAATTACACTGAGAAAAACAAAGCCTGTGCCAAAAGACTATATACAATATTATTTCACTTATGTAACATTTTTGAAATGATAAAATTTTAGGAACAGAGAACATATCAGATGTTGTCAGTGGTTAGGGACCTGGGAAGGAAAGTAGAAGAGAGGTTTGTGTGGTTATAACAGAGTCACAGGAGGGATCCTTGGGGTGATGGAACTGTTCTGTATTTCACCTGTAGTGGTGGATATATGAACCTCCACATGTAATACAAGTGAACAGCACTAAATCACACACACACACGCACACACACAAGTAAAGCACAAGTGAGCATAAGCAATATGAATAAAATGAGTGTATTCTCATTAACCTAGTTGTGATATTG